CAGAGCAGGTCATTGCCCTCTCTGAGCCTCTCTTCCCTCATCTGCAAAGTGGGATGATAATACCTACCTGAATGGCTGTTGGTAGGGTCAATGAAATCACAAGTGCGTATGTTCCAGGCCCAAATGCCCTTGCAAAATCACTGGGTCTAGATTCTGGGAAATAACTACAAAAAGAAAGAGAAGAAATTCTTTTGTCTTTGGGAGGCCATACAGAGTGGAGATAAGGAGACAATGTCTCTGAGTCTTGGTTGTCTCTCCTATAAAATGGAAGTAATGAGGGGACCTACCTCAAGGAGCTGTCAGGAGCACTCGATGGGTGACCTCAGCACACAGTCAGCTCATTAAATGTCTGTTGCTATTATTATTATTTCTGTGGAGGATCGTTTGTCCTGCAGGAACCCAGGGAATGAGGGGAAAAGAAGGCTCCAGATATACATTACGGCAAAGCTGCTCTGCGGCCAGCTGTGCTCCAGGCAACCGGGGGTGGGGAGGGGCCGGGCAAAGGCCGTGTGCACTGAAGCATTAAACGAGAAACACGACCGGCCAGCGGGCATGGCCGAGGCATCAGTAGGAGCCTGAACACCCGGGAGGAAGAAGGATGCCTACGTCACCTCACTCGATGATCCAGTGCTTTGAATTCAATTTGTCCCAGCAGCCTCAGAGCTGCACAGGTCTGAACACAGCCTGTTCTGGCGTCTGCCTTCCCCTCCAGGCTGGTTGGTTCTGGAGGGCAAGGGCAACGTCATACCTGGTTTTGTATCAAGTTGGGCACGTGAGAGAGATTGGCTCAGGGACTGAGCTTTTGATCCAAGGGGGTCAAAAGAAAGACAGCTCTGGGACTTTTCCTGAAACTTCTTTAAAGAGTTACTAAGCTGGCATGATATGAGTTAAGAGCCACTGGAAGCCATCTTGGTTACCACAAAGGGACAGCCTGCCTGAGAGTGATGTCAACCCTGAAGAAAGCAGAACTGAGAGACAGAGGGAGACACTGATGACATCATGTGAACACCCGGATCCAGCCATTCCTGAAGCTAGCAAGAACAGACCTCATTAGTTGTGTGAGTTGTTTCTTAAGTTAGGTTTTTCTTGAGCTGGGTTTCAGTGTCTTATAATCAAGAGCCTAGATAAATATGGTCTTTTTTCCTTCTTTATTTAAAAGTAAGTCTTGATTATCAGATGGCACCTATGAAAATATCCTGTGGCCCAGCAGAAGCAAGTGATATCACGAGAAGGACATCTAGGAAGGGAGAAAAGAGCCTAAGTTCCAGGCAGACTCTGCCTTTAACTGAGACCTAGGGGAAAGGGTGCAAAATGTGCCTCTGAAAGATTTTGCCTTTACTCTGGGGCAGGCACACATGGGGTCCAATCCTGCTTCTAATTTGGAGGGAGCCTGGTTCCCTCGCCTGTAAAGTGAGGAGACAAACACTGCTGTGAAGACTCATTGAGAGAATGTGTGAAAATCATGGTTTCTTCTGCTTGATAAATGCTAGTTCACTTCTCTTAGCCTGTTGCTCCTAAAATTCAGTGTCACCAAACTGGGCTGTTCTAGGGAGCCCGGAGGAGCAGGCCTGGGCAGCGCCCTCACCTTCTCCCTTCCCCCGTCCTCCTGATACACTGCAAGGCTCCACCCGAAAAATCTGGGCGCTAAAGCCTGGCCTGGAGGAAGCCCAACCAAACTGGTCCGCCTGGCGTGGCTTCCACTAGGCGCTTACAGGCCCTTATCTCAAACTCAGACAATCAGCCTGGGAATTCCTGACGGCTTCCAGCAAGGGCCAGCTGTTCCCATCGGTTTTTGCAGAGTAGGGAGATAACTTTTACAAGTAACAAATTTAAATTAAAAGTAATGGTTGGTCACGATAGAAAATTTGGAAAACACAGGGAAAAAAGTCATCAATAGTGCCACCACCTGGACACAGCTCCCACGGGCGTTCTACTTCTCTGTTGATCATTCCAATGCACGGTCAGGTTTACAGGCTCTCGGGTTTTTTTTTACATCCGTGAGATCAGAGTGTATGCACAGTTTTATATCTTGATTTTCCCACCATATTTTAACATAAACATGTTCCCGTGTTATAAACTCTCGGCTAGTGCCAGACACTGTGCCTAGCACATCACCAGCAGGATCTCAGTAATGCCCATCCCATCCTAAAACCAGGAGTTCTTATTCTTGCTTTGCAGATGAGGAAACTGAGGCACAAAGGGGTTAAGCGTCTCCCCCGCAATCGTGGCGAGGCCCAGGCAGTCTGGTTTCGCAGCCCACGCTAGTGACCCGTCTGTATCCGTATCACAGTTGACTCAGCCTTCCTTAGAGAGCAGTTGGCTGTTTGTGCCTGCCTGACCCTCCATCGCTCCCCTTTCTCCTGAGGACCATGACGCCTACGTTCAGTTCTACTGGCAGTATTAGGTGGGGTGAGCGCATGTCCTGGATCTGACCAACGGGAGCCGGAACTCCCCTGGCCTCCGGGATTGGTGCAGGAAAGGGCAGGTGACCCGCACTGGCCCACGCAGGAACTGCTCAGAGGCAGAGGTAGCATGGACGGCGGCTGGCTGTCCTGAGAACCTGCCTGGGCGTGGGGCCGGAAAAGGAGGGCTGAGTGAGAGGGGAGAGCCCACGTCCTATTGCGATATTTCAGATTCTGGATCCAGCTGCACCTCAAGTGGGTTCTTGGGTCCTATCTTGGACTTTTCAATTACCTGAGCCTTTTAATCCCCTTAAGCCAGTTCGACTTGGGCTTCTGTCACTTGTAACCAAGAGTTCTGGCAAGCACACCCTGGTAGTTGGATATTAGGGTTGCTTACGGTGTTTTCACCATTAGAAATAACGCTGCAATGAACACGTCTACATGGGGACCTTATCCTTGATTAGAATTTCTTCCCTGCGGTATTTTCACAGGAGTTACTTGGCAAAGGATCAAACTTTGTCGGGCTCTGTAGATATTCTGCAAATTATTTCCTTGGTTGGCAGAGGTCTGTGTCCTTCACTTCCACTCCCCAATAACGTACGCAACTGTGATTTTTAAAATTGACTTCTGAAGAGACTTTCTTTTTTAACAAGCCAAAGTTGTATTTGTTTTTTAAACAGGAAAATTATGTTAATATAAAACAGATAAAAACAGACAAAAATCAAAACACACAACACACAAAAGCACAATACACAGGACCAGTGCAAACCCTTCCCAACCCGCTCCCCCCAAGTTTTAAAACCTTTATTCTGGATCCCCAAAGATTAGACTGTACTGGGGAGGTCACAGTATTGAACCAGGAAAATAATAGTAAGAGCCATTTTTAAAAAGGTCTGTACACAGGTAGTGGCGGTGGGGTGGGGACGTACACGTCATCACTCCAACATCAAGAACACAATGCAGAAGGGTTTCAGTGACCGTCACAGGCTTCTAGAATGCCATCATGTCTGCTAATCCCCTGCCCACTTTTTAAAGTTGCTTTTAAAAAGGATAAAAAGTGCACAGACACTTTCATAAGGCACAGACAGATCGTTGTACAAGTCACTGCATTAGGGACTTGAAAAGACAGTGGGACAATTAACCACCAAGAAATGTCAGGAGGCCCCGTGTTCCTGAGCCGGGGTCCCTCCCCAGAACTGGGGCGAGCGGGGACCGAGCAGTGGGAGGGGCCACCTCTCATCCTCCAAGACTTCACACAACCCTCTTTCCAACTGGAGCTGACTGGGGGTTCCCTGGGGACTTGGGGGTTATTTCTGGCAACCAAGGCCTGAAAGCAGCAGGTAGCCATCTCCCCACGTCTCCCCGCAGGACCCGAGGGTTCTGCCCAACGCGGTCCTGGCAGCAGCTCGCTGACTGCACAGCGCCTGGCGTTTCTCCCGCAGAGGCGGCTTTTCCGAGCCCGCAGGAGGCCCTGGGTCAGGAAGGCAGTCCTTGTGCACTCACCAAGAGACCCCTGAGGGAACAGGATGCCCAAGAAGGCCCAGTGGATTCTGCCCCAAATGTCTCACTACCTCTGAAGGTCTCTACCTCTGACGCCAGAGCTGGGGCGCTGCCCTCTCAACCCCGTCCTCCCAGCACCCCACACCCAGGAGGCACTCAGCCAATGTTTGTTGATTGTGTGCATGTGTATGTGGTGTTCTACCAAACCCCTGAACACTCACAACCTGACTTCTGATCTACTCAGTAAACCCTTAGTAAGTACCTACCATAGGCTAGCACAAGGCCTGACACGGAGGGATCAACTAACAGCCTACACATCTGTCCATCACCTGTCTGCACCACGAGCTCCCCATGGGCTTTGTCTTTGGTCCCAGTTCCCAATCCTGTGTCCAGAACACAGGCTCTGCTGACCAGTGGGCGCTGCAGGACTGAAGAGCGTGGCCACAGTGACGGAGCAGCTGCCCCAGGAGCTGAACACCTGCAGACGCCCCATTCGGGGATGGACTGGAAAAAGGAGCCTGTCTTGACTTGGAAACGGCCCGATTTCCCTGGCGGTTCAAAATGAGCAGGCACAAGGCCACAACAGAGGGACGTCCTGTGGTCGCCCCCGTTCCGCCCCTGGGGGCCTGCTTGCGGGGATGGTGATGGTCACAGGGCCCAGGAAGGTGGAGGGACAAGGCCTCGGGCCCTCCCCACAGTTGCCAGTGTGTAAAAGGAGGAGACCCTTGGGTTGGACCCCAGATCTCATGCAGCTCAGCCCCTCCAGGGAAGCTGGGCGGCAGGCAGACGCGCTGAAAGGAAGGACACTTGTCCGTCCAGGGGATGGGCAGCAGAGGGCCGCAGCCTGGGGCTGGGAACCCCAGGAAGCGCAGGGGCAGGCCCCCGGGTCTCTCCAGGGGCTGCCGAGGAGTGACGCAGGCAGCACTGAGCTTTCCGCGACTCGACTCGGGCCAGGCAGTGGAGAGGGTGTCACCAGACACTCCTGGGTTTGAATCCCAGCCCCGCCCCCCCCTGCTGAGTGACACTAAGTCACTTCCCTCCGAGGACCTCAGTTCTCTCACCTGCCAAATGGGGATAATACATATTTCACTGATTCTGAGGAGCAGAGATTCTTTCCCATTGCACCATCTCTGATGAGGATGAACTGGATAGCTGCCGCATCTTACCGTGAAAGCTGGCAGCGTTTTTTCTTAGTGGTACGTAAAATGGCCTGTCTTGTCATGGGTGGTGTCTTAGACACGCCTCTGTATGGTAATAAGACCTGCCCCCAGGAGGAGGGCGTGTGGCTCCCCTCCAGCCCAGCACCCAGGCACATGGGGACGGGAAACAAAAAGGAGCGGCCCCTCTCCCGTGTCTCCTGCCCCCTTCTCCAGACAGAACACAGAGGGCGACGTGAGCAGCTCCTCTGCAGCGCTGAATAAATCAGTTTAGAGCATCAGGAAATGTCTGGTTTTTAGAAGATAAACACCCCCTTAATTCCTCTTGAAAACAGGGAGGCTATTTATAGCAGCTGCGGAGCAAGTTAAACAGGCCACCAGCTCCTTTCTTCCCAGGTAACAGGTTACCAGGAGCACGGCCTGGTCCACCCCGGGCCAGGTCCTCGGTCACTGGTTTCCTGGTGGTGGCTGTGCATGACCGCAGCTGGAACCCAAGGGGCCAGTCAGGGAGGGCAAGGGGCAGGCGAGAGGGGCTGGCTCCCCCAGGCTGCTGAGACCACTGGGCCTCGAGGCTGGCTCAATCCAGTCAGGGGCACTGTTGCCTGGAGAACCACAGTCCGGGGGGTGACGAGTCCTCTCACCTGGGCCTGTGCCCCATCCAGCGCACGGGGCAGATGGACGGCTCCCAGTGCCCAAATTTAGCAGGGCACCGAGCGCTGCCTAGATTCTCAAGCCCTTATCTTGGCAAACGCCAGGGTTCTAGTAGCTCCCAAGAAACTTCTGCTGGAAAATTAAAATGGGGGCATGTTTCTCAACTTCACTAGGGAAAAAGAACCAATCAGGGGTTCTTGCAGGGGCAAGAATGGGGTTTCTGAAGTCGAGATCAGGAAACTGTGACCACTTCCAGCCAGAGAAGCAGGTGGTCCGAGACGCAGGGCATCTCGAGGACCCAGTGGTCTTGTGGGACTTGATCTGAGGAGAGGCCGGCGCTGGGCCCCGGGCCCGGACACCCAGCAAGTGTGTGTTATGTGATGGGTAAACTCTCTGCACGCTCTCCTCTCCCTGCCCCCCTCAGCAGATGGACAGACTAGGAATTGTAATAAAAATGATACCTGCTCTCGGCAAGGTGTCTCGGGCTTTTGAGAACGTGCTGATCCTCCCAAGAGCTCTGGGGTGGCCAGGCCCGAGGCTTCCTCTTGGACAGGCTGGGGACCGAGAAACAGAGAGGCCCAGGGACTTCCGCACAAGTACAGCACAAGACAGGGCAGAGGGGGCCCAGGAGGGAGGGGCAGGCCTGCCAGCGCATCAGCCCAGGTGTGGTCTGGGAGTGCGCAGAGGTGGGCCCAGGCAGGGGTGGGGATAGGGGCCGGGTCCCAGGAAATACCTAGGAAACAGCCCTGGGAAGGGGGAGAGGCCCAATGTCAGAACTGTCAGCTAACGTCTCAGTTATTAGCTAACATCTTAATGACCAAGTACCATCTTAGCAGCCAGCAGGGGAAGGTAAGCTGAGAATCAGGACACAGACCAGTGGCAAAGCCCTGCTCCCCGCAGGCTGCCCTGTGAGGCCCAAGCCGCAGGCGAACGCCAGGCCTGCTTACAACAGAAACTGTGCAGGGCTGTCTGTGCAATGGAGCGGCCTTTCCAAGTCCGGGTGAGTCACCTGCCTCCGGGATTCCTTCCCCTCTCCTGGAAAAGAGAACCTGCTGCTTGTCTTCTCCTTGGGGACGGGACGGGTGGTACAGACAGAAAGCATCTGGGGACGGAGTCAAGGTGCGGTGTGCTCGTGAGCAGGCTGTCCGGGGGGAAGCGGGGAAAAGATTCTGGAGAGGACACTGCCCAGAGCTCTCGGCCACAGTGCCCAGCAAAGCTCCTCTCCAAGACGAGTCAGAAACGAAACAAGCAAACCGTTCTTTGATGTTCTCCGCCCACCTCCCCCCAAGGAGCGCTGCTGTGGAGCTGTAAACAATGAGCTATTTTTTCCTCCCCTTAGAAAATCTGAGTCCTTTTCTACACCATCCAAGGGAGTTCTGTTCAGGTGCAGGCCTCGTACATTCAAAACCAGCTGACATCACAGCCCCAGAAAGTGAGCGCCTTCTAGTCGTGCTAATGTCTGGACTCTGGATTGCACATTCCTTAGTCTTAAACCTCCTCCCAGAGCCAGAATCCCTGGATAAACACCTATGCCATCTCTCTCATCCTCTCACAGCCCCTCCCTCTCCTCCGTCTCCCACCCTCCCCGCTACTTCTCTCTCACACGCTCAACCCAACCCCAGCAAAAAGCATTGCACAGAGGACGCTCCCCAGCTGCGAGGTCACCGAGGGACCGGACAGTCTGCCAGGCAGTTCCTGAGCTTGCTCCTGGGCGGCCTTTTGGGGGCAAAGCACTTTTGAGCCAGAATTAGCCCTTGCCTGGGCTCAGACCCTCGGGGCCTTGTCTCCACGACTGTCACGCCTTGCCCACCACTGGAGAGTGGCAGACGAGATGGCTGCTGCCCTTGGATTCCCTGGTGGCCACGGTGGTTGCCCGGCCTAGGGGGGCTTCAGAAAGGTGACCTTGCTCTGGCCAAGGCCCGTCAGTGGGCCAGGCTACGGCCTGTAGATCTTGATGACGTCCTTGATGGGCCGCCGGCAGATGGGGCAGCAGGCCCGGGCCTGCCTCTTGAGCCGCAGGCCGCAGCTGTGGCACAGACACATATGTCCACACGTGTAGATGACTGTGTCCACTTCACCATCAAAGCAGACCGTGCACTCGCCGTTCTTGTTGCCTGCCAGCTCCGGTGCAGAGAACACAGGGGACACCGGGGGGCTCAGCGGGGAGCTGGGGGCCGTCACTGCAGAAAGGGAGAACAGGACAGACCTTCATAACGTGGCGCTCAGTGGGCTCTGCTGGGGCAACCCCAAGAGGGCAGAGCTTCTATAGCAGAACCAGTGGGGGGACAATTTTGGGGATACCAGTTTTGGTTTTTATCCCAGGTTTTGCCCCTTTCCCTACCCCCCCACGCCCCAGCCCCCACCAGCATCAAGCACCCTGGGAGGTGCCTTATCTCGATGTTTCCCTCCATCCAGCTGAATGCAGACTGAGGAGCAAGGGGATGCAGAGAGGAAACACGGCCACCCTGCGTGGCCCTGGGCAGGCGCTAGCAGAGCCCAAGGAGCCGGGCCAGCCGCCAGCCCCCACCCGCTCCAGGGTTCGCACTTCCTCACCCAGGGATGACTCAGACGCCGAGGAGGACTGGTTGACACTGAAGGCCATGTCGGAATCACTGTCGTCCTGGGAGCCACTGAGGGACCCTGACGGAGACGTGGTTGCAGGGCTGGACTGCTGGGTGCCTGAGACCAAAGAAGCTCCATCAGGGGCAGCGGGAGGTGGGCCCTGCTCTGCTGGTCCCTGGCTCTCCACTGCCTTGCACCTTAGCATCCCGTCTGTCTAATGGGAGGACAAGATCCACTGCACAGGGTCCTGCTAAGGACTCATGGAATCGTACATGTGTGGCAGACATCCGTTCTTTGTCTACCCAGCCTCCATTCCCAGTTATTTCAGAGAGAACACCAGGATTTTGTCTGGGGGCACTACTTCACCCTCACTCACAGGATCCAGGCCAGGCCAACATGAACTTCTACCCCTTGGTCTCAGTGTAACCCAAAGAAGGCCAACGACACCCAATTCTGTGACTTCCACTAGAACTGCTGGGAAAGAAGGGGCTCACTGCATTGGGAGGTAAGCCTGGTGCCGAAGGGCCTGCCTGAGAGTGAAGCCAACACAGAGGAAAGCAGAGCTTCGAGATGGAAAGAGAAACAAGATACTGATGACATCCTTTCAACACCTAGATCCAGCTGTTCTTGAATCCATCAAATATACTCCCAAACTGTACCCATAAACTTCCCTTTTTGCTTAGGGCACTTTGAGTGGGGTTTTGTCACTTGCAACTACAAGATTCCTGACTAGCCGTGTTCAACATGGATGAGTTTTCTTCCCGGAATTGACTGCTAGTTTAGATGATAATGGGTCATTTCCTAGGTGAAGAAAGCTGCCGGTTCTGGTCCCCTACTTGAGGATGAATGGAAAGATAATGCAGGGCAGGGACTACTGTAAGGGAGGGATCAGGAGGGCAAGTCCCTGGCCTCCGAAAGCAGTTTTCTCCCTTCTACCCTCTCCTGCCTTCTCTTCCTGACCACTAAGAGCTCATCCTGGTTCCTCTGGAGGTGCTGGGAAGTGGGGTGAGAAGGACTCTAGACTCAGCTCTTGCAAAGCCCCAGTGGGACCTTGGGCAACTCATCTCGGGGTGAAGTAACTGTCTGATCTCCTTAAAAAACCCCCCAAACCACAACCAGCACCCCTTCCCCTCCTCTGCCCTCAACCAAACAACAGTCACTATTGTTACTATTACGACTTATTAAACGTACTGTAGGGGGCAGGCACCTGCTGAAAGCCTTCTATGTCCTCCTCACTTCATCCTGGTGACAACCCCAGGATGCAGGTAACCACTCCCTTTCTACACAGAAGGAAACTGAGGCTCAGAGAGGGTCTGTGCACTGTCCAACATCTTCATGGCTGACCAGCTATGCGGCTGGCACAGTCGTTCACCCTCTCTGCGCTTCCGTTTTCTTATCTGTAGACAGGATGACAATACTGGGTCCATACGATCATCAGGAGGCTAAAGCTGAACAAGGTAACATATGAAGTGTTCATCGTTTCTGTTACCACATGGACTTGACTTCCTGAACCAGAAAACGGAGCCACGCTCTCTGGGAGCCTTCCTGACCCCTACAGCCCACCCGGCCGGCCTGGGGGAGCGAGGCCGCCCTGCGAGGTGGGCATCACGCCGCGCTCCGCTCCGTCGGGGCGTCTGCGGGCGCCCTGTGCTCACGGCCGGCATCCCGTCCTCTGCGGGCCCATCCCGGAGCCAGGCGGCCCGCGGCCGGGGCGCTCCGCGTCCACCTGAGCACCAAGGCAGGCAAGAAGCGTCTCGCAACAGGAGGTTTCAAGCCTCCGATCCATTTTCTGTGGACGGTGCTATTCCTATTTCCTCTGTTAGGAGTTCCATTTAGTTTTTCTCCTACACTTCATATGCATCACATATGTAAAAAAATATAATAAACCATAAAAACCTAAATAAAAACCGCACCGACCATTTCCCGACTGTGTACGGGCGCCAGGCCCGAGGCCAGCGGGTGCATAGCTCAAGGCAGACCAGGTGGTCCCGGGGCCCACCTCCTGCCCCCGAACGCATGCGGAGGCCGGGGCGCCGCGCCGCGCACGCGCGCTGGGGGACTCACCGAGGAGGCGCAGCTGGCCGGCGGCACCGCCGCGCACGGCGAAGAAGGCCCAGAGCGCCTGCGTGGTGTCGACGCACAGGAGGCGGCCGCGCGGGCGCCCGTTGACGCCCAGGAGCACGTCGCCGCCGGGCCGCAGCGTGAAGCTGAGCGCGTCGCCGCCGCTCGGCACGGGCCCGGCGCGCGCCACCACCCAGTACTCCTTGCGGTCGAGCAGCGCGTCGGGGTCGGCCGGCAGCTCGGCGGGCCGCAGCGCGCCCGGGTCGCAGGACGTGATGCCGAAGGCCAGCGCGCCGGGCGCCGCCAGCCCCGGGCGGCCCACCTCCACGAAGAGGCTCTCGCCGGGCCGCAGCGGGCGCTCGGAGAAGACGAGCGTGCGGCCGCCGTCGGGCCGCGGCGCGCAGGCCAGCTTGCGGTCGGCCGACAGGCTCACGTCGGGCCCGCGCGTCGCGTGGAAGCGCAGGTCGGCCTCGAGCAGCGCCGGCGAAGACGCGGGCCGCGGGC